AACGTGACGTTTGTTTTTCTCACGAATATTGTTTCTAGGTTTTCCCAAAACTCTTCACAACAAGTTTGAACGATTTGTACTCTTGTAAATTTCTGTCCAAATATCCTTTTTTCTTCATTTCCGAGGGCAAGATAGAGGATTGAACGAAATTTGTTTTCGGCTTCTTCGGTTCTCAGTTCGTTAAATTGTTTTTGTTTTGATCGATACCGCTTCTGCAGCATCATAAGGTTTCTGCTCTTGCAAATTTCTCTGTAGCCGTGCTTTCCTTTGGTTTTCCGACTCTTTCTCCGTCAGACTCTTGAGTGCAGGTGGATGTTGATGATGTCTTTTGATCGGATGTAGTAGATTTTTGATATCTATATTTTCCCTCGCTATTATGGCTAGTTGAAAAAGATCGCTATCCTCCTCCCAAGGAATTGTTGGGTCCACCGTATGATTCTGCCAAAGTTAAACTATTCCTCCTAATTACGTTAATTTTTCAACTATACCATTATAAAATGTTACTCAGTTACAGCTAACTCTACTTCATACAATTAGAAGAAAAAAGGATAAAAGTGAATTAATCTGAAAGTAATCAAATTTAAAAGTGACAGAGCATTATCTCCGCCGGAGAGAATGAAAGTATCAGGGTCAAACATAAAAGACCTGCTAAATCAACTAATTTAAAGAGTGAACTACTTAAACTAATACAAAGTGGAATCACATCAAACATTTGACCTTACGTATTTACCTAGTAGCAACAAACAGCATGTTTTTCAGAACTGAGACCAGGAATGAGATTGTTCCAAATTTGAACAAAAATGAAGAGCTTATCAAAACACTTTTTTATGCCGAAGTGTTTTGTGCAGAAAAACCGTTTTTAATGGTTCAAAATATATACTTTTGCTTTTTTCTGGAAAAATTTATGCGTCTCGGAAAACTTTTTGAAATGTACTTTTCCTTTTAGCCTCGAACTTCGTGTTACTTAACTGTTTACAAAATTACCTGACTTGTCCTGCAAAGTTTTGTCTGTAAGACTTTTCGAAAAAGGGTTAAATAATTGAATAATATCCCTTTAATTTTTAAAGTTTTTTGTTATCGAACGATATCCGGATTTGTCAATTTTTGTTGTTTATCGAAACTAAACAATTTAAGTTTTTCATTTTCTTCAGATGAAAGTTACCATCAAAAACTATGAAAAACCCAACTTTTTTCGAAAAAAAACATGAAAAATCAGGTGCTTTTGGAATCGATATATCAATTTTAAAAAATCAAACGCCTTGAATAATTTAAAAAAAAAACTTCATTATAATTCTCTCGGCGTTTGTTCTTTCATTCCGACCAGGGAGTGTTTTGAATTGTAGGGTTTTTGGGTAGATTTGGCTGTATTTATGTGTTTTCAATTCCACCTGAAATCTGGTACCACAATTATTTAACGGAAAGAGTCGAGTGATATATCAGACTAAAGCCGTTCCATTCGTGGTTTGAAAGAACTCGAAAAATTTTGGAAAAAAATTCAATGTCGAGAAAAACAGATTGGAGTTTTTTTGTTTGAGTCTAATCTCGAGCAAACAAAGCCAACGAGCACGCTTAGTATACAATGATTTTTTAAAACTGTGAATATAAGCCGTGAATTCCTAGTTTTATGTCTAGTAAAATTAGTTTTTGAAGTTCTTTTTCGCGATTCCTTGGGAAAAAATTTGTTGAGCGAAGTTTTTTGTTTGTTTTTTGTTCTTTTTTCGCAAAAAAGTTGGTCGATAATGCCTGAACAGTGTCACCAATCAATTTTTAGCTTTCGTTTGATATTATTTCATTGGATAGTTTCTCATCACACCATGGACAAAAAACAACACATTTTGAAAAAAAAACTTTCCTTTTCGTTGTAGATTTTTTTGAATTAAATGTACAACAACCAGCTCTCTTGTTTTGAGTGTTATATTTTCAATTTTGGGAAATTTTGACTAAATTGAAAGTTATTCAATTTAAATTTTTTCAAACTCGTTGATAAAATTCAGACCATAGAACGAAAAAGTATATTAGAAAATGAGCTTTTCCGATTGTCCATGTATCTTATGCATTACTAATACGGAACTTGGCAATGCTAATCTTGTTCTTGTTTGTCAAATGAGTGGAAAAAGTGACGGAATACTTTCCTTCTGGTCTGAGTTGATTTTTCCTAACTCCAATTTTCAACAACTAATTTCTTTTTTTTCTGTCTTTTTCCCAATCTTTCAGAAACGTAAATGGGCAGTCGGAACAAGCGGGTTTTTGCGCTGAAGCAAGCAGCTCCATTGAAAAGTTTGCTTAAAAACCTTTTCTTTTGTGAAAAAAAAACTTTTTAAAAATATTTTGCGGGAAACATTGAAAAATCATTTCAAGAGGTTTTATTGAACCAGAAACCAAGTTTTTTAAAATTTGACTTGAAAATCATTGAGTATGAAGTATTATTCAATCAGATTCCAGCGTTACGCCCAACAGTTCTATTGGATTTAAGCAGGCAGACCGCTAGCAAGTTATCAAAACTTTTCGCCCGGATGAATACTCATAAGCGTTTCATAAAAGTTCTATCAATTCAGCTAAGAATCCGAACAATCCTAAAAATTGGAATAAAATCAATCGAATTTTCAACCGGTCCAATTTATGTTTTTTAAATTCAATTTAATCGAAATAATTGACATTGGGTCGGATAACCAAAATATGGACACTTCAAACTATATGCATTGCCAAACGAAGTCTTCCAACAATTTAAAATCAAATCATGGGCCGAGCAGGATCAATTTATAGGTTAAATATAAGTATTTGTTTAAAAAAACGATAAAAAGGCAAAAATTTGTTTTCGTTTTTCCAATGATTCGAGTAATTTGGTATTCGAATAAAGTCAAACGGTGCCCGGAAGAACTAAGCAGCCCACTCGATCGGAGTCCATTGAAAAAGTCGCGCAAAGTGAAAAAGTGTCCAATAAAAACTAACGGTGTCCAGAATACGGCTTGATTTGTTCGTTCTCAGTTGTTCTGTCGAAGAGGTCGTTGAAGGACTGCTTCAAGACGCACTCAGGAAATATCGAGCGAAATAAACTATTTCATTTTTTTCGTAACTCTTTGTCTTTATTTTCCTCAACTGCCTGCCCAAATTATTGGACTTTTTTCCAATTGGATTTCGTAAAAAAACCATCTTTCAACAGAAGCATTAAAAACTGGAAATCGAAATATGCTGCTGTTGAAAAATCAATCTGTAAACCTTCAGTTTGATTCAGTTCAACTAGCGCACCCCAAAAATTTGGTACTAGTGCAGAGCTGCTAAATTTTTTGTTGTATTAGGTCATTAATTTTTGGAAGTAAGCAGTTGTTTATAAAAGGTCATGCACTGTAAATAATTGATTAAATAAAGAGGACTATATTAATTTTTCAAGTATTCCAAACAAATTCGAATCGAGCAAGAATGTCTTGATACTGGGGCAACAAGTCAATTGCTATCCCTTGGCTCTAAGTCATGAGCCAAGAAACTAATCCTCTCAAAAAGGTCTGGAATTTCATAACAAATGCAATATCCACACAGTATATGGCACATCTCCAAAGTTTTCGCGCTGCGTTTTTTCTCGAAACCGACATAAAAATTGGCCATACCAGCCACTCTCTTTTCCGAAACGTGCTTGTTTCATCTTGATGATCAGCTCGGGGATACTGCTATGTGTTTTTTGCCCGTTCCTTTTCTTCTTGTATGACACTTGAACACTTCAGAAAATTTCAATTTACCCCTCACATATATTGCAAATAAGCGGGAGTACTTTTTCGAGAGTTGCTTTTGCGCGCAATTCCCTGACAACTTTGCACAATTAACAGCCAAATAATATTGTTTTTTCAAACCTATTTTTTGAAATCAAAATTTTATAGGTGCAAGAAAGTTGATAGACGCGTAGAAAACAAAACTTTACTTTCAACTTCTCGATTACGAGGCAACTCTGAGTTAGATGCAATAGTCTTCAATGGGAAACCCGCATTGGAGCTCCATGAATAAAAATCGATTAAAATTGAGTTTCCTTGTAAGTGTCCACAAAATTGAAAACAAATCGATTATAATCATTTAAAAATGGATTATAATATTATTATTTTTCGAGGCAACAAAAACTGTTTTTGATCCATTATAATAGATTTTTTCACTTTTGTTGACACTGACAATGAAACTAAACTATAATCGATTTTTTTTCCACTTTACTGAGATGCGAATTTCAACGCACAAAGTCTTTTCTACGTTTTAAATTAAAGTTGGTTACTTGTTCAATTGAATTTTTTTCTTCCTAACTTTGATATTTTTGTTCCTTTTTATATTACTCAACATTACCCCCCTAGCAGTTGCCCATTTAGAACAAACCTCCCTCTCCCCCCTCCACCAACTTAGGTGGGGGGTTAGGTGTGGGGGGGGGGTTGTTCAGGCGGGGGGTGTTCAGGTGGGGAGGGGGTTGTTCAGGTGGGGGGCGGAGGTTTTCAGGTGGGGGGGGGGGGGGGGGGGTTCAGTGGGGGGAGGGCAGCAATGGGGCAAACGTTAGGGGGATTGAAGGGGAGCAAAGGGGCAAATGTTGAAGGGGGGAGAGCTCAACGGAACCATTTTGCAATTTGAGTTTAGGTTTTGAAATGCATTAGGCCAGGCCGTACACTCGCTTTGCAAAGTTTCCGCATCACTCACTTGATAAATGCTGAAATTCTTGCAAATTTTTGCACGACGCACGAAACAAAAATGAAGTGGAAAAAAAAATCAATTTTAATGTGATTTTCTACTTATTATAAAATCCAATATAATGTATTCAAAATGAATTATAATGCATTTTGTTTTGGCGAGAAAAAATGGATTTAAATCCATTTTTAGTCCAATTTTGTTGTCTGAACGTAACATGGGAATCGATTATATTTACAACATTGTAAACCACGAAAATCCATTATAATCGATTTGTTTTCACTTTTCTTAAATGCGGGAATTGTAGAAATTAGTCTCGAACATCAAAATGGAATGACAACATTACTTTTGAGGTGTTTGTTCTGCCGGATGACGAAATGCAAAAAGAGGCTAATTTCTGGGCCTTGATGTTTGTGGTGTTGGGACTGACCATAGGCATATCCATGCTGACCGAGTCATGGGCTCTGGGGGAGTCCGGATCCAGACTGACAGAGAGACTCAGGTCTCTGTCGTTCAAGTCAATGCTCAAACAGGTAGGTATGAATGTGTGATGAAGCTTCTTTTGCATATCATTCCTCCGGATTTTTGACAAAACGAACGCGAAAAAGAAAGTTATTATGCTTTCAAGGGTACATAAATGTAAATGTTTTTTTTTATGTCAGTATACTCTTTTTCAAAAACTTAGTAAAAAAAAATCCAAGTGCTTAGATACGAGTTTTTGACCTGCTTTTTTGCAAAAAATTTGAGTGCGGCGCAAGCAATTTGGTCAAAGTGGGGTATCTATAATGATGTGGGAGAGTTCAGAAATTCAATATGGCCGGCCTTGAAAAAAAAGAAAATTTTTGATTTTGTTTTAAATCCCCCTCCCCTCAAGATGCTTGTTTCAATTAAGGTACCTACGCTATTTTTTTAACCTAGACTTACTTTTAGGATATGTCATATTTCGATGATGAGAAAAATTACGTTGGGGTTCTCACCACTAGACTCGCCAAAGAGACCTCCCTAGTCCAGGGTGCCACTGGGATCCGGGTCAAAGCAACTCTGGAAGCGATAGTTGGTATGTCGGCCGGTTTGGCGATTGCTTTCATCTTCGGCTGGCAACTTGCTCTATTGCTATTGGCTGCTTTTCCCCTGATCGGAATAGCAGGCGGGATTCAGATGAAGTTCGCTCAAGGATTCAGCGTGAAGGAATCAAGTGATTCTCAGCAAGGCGGAAAGGTGTGAGGCAATTTTTCTATTACAGCTCCCCTCTGCCTAGTTTATAAAATATATAGTCTCCTACACTCTAATTTTACCATTATGGAGGGCTATTGCTGTGGTCCTAAAATAACAAAGACTCAGCTGTGGACAAACAACTGAACTAAAACTACAACCGGACAAGTTTAGCATTTTTTACTTTTCAGCAAACTTCGGTATTTTCTTTTATTTTTTCTCGTTTTCCTGATCAATTTGCTAATTCCCGATCATTTTAATTTTCTGGCTGTAGCATGCACAGGATTGGGTCCTTTCAGAGGGCTTATTGGCAGAGTTGAATATCGTAAGCAGAGGGACTGTTTGCAGCCAGAACTGAGAGGGGCTCCATTGTACAAAATGCAATTGAAATAGTCATTAGTCCAAGATTACTTAGAATCCCCAGTTCCTTTCTTCACCGATTGATTTGGTTTCTGTTAATACTGTGTATTCTTGTTAAGCTTTGCTATGAAATTTTAGAATTTTTTTTGAAGCAATAACTCTCGATTTTTTTTTGCGTTTTAGGTCGTAACAGAGTCGATCTCTAACATCCGAACTGTTCAAAGTCTGGGACTGGAAAAACGACTGTATGCAAAATTCTTCGACACTCTGACTGTTGTTCATGAGTTAGAAATTTTCCTTAGATAACTCATGTAATCAATAGAAAATATTAAGTGGTGTTTAATAATGATGTATAATATAATGATGTTTCAGGAAGAATCTGAAGTTTGCTCATGTGTACGGCCTGGCTCAGAGTTTCAGTCAGTCTATGTTTTTCTTCATCTATGCGGCTGCCTTTCGATTTGCAGCTTGGCTCATTGCTCGGGAGTCGATTGAATCTATGGATGCTTTCCGGTGAACACTAGTTCAAATAAAACCAGGGGCTGATTTAGGGACGGGGTACTCAAGAATTCAGTTTCATCGAAACCCTAACACTGGTTGTCCCTTTATTGTTTTACGACATCCAGTTTTAGCAAACTAATTGGCTCATTCTGAAGTTTTATAAGTGGTGACTTTAACGCCAATGTATACAAACTTGAAGGGGTTAGTGCATTGAATAAACAAAACATACCTGCAAATCTTTGAAATTGCCCACAAATAGACTTATTTGACACATTTTCTCAAAGTAACCTGATCATCAAAAAAACTCTACTTCTGCGTCAATTAAAACTATTTTTGAAGGACAGGGGTTTGACAGTTAACTTCAAATTGTGATAAATCATTAATCCGCTCCTAGGCATGACCAATTTTTGTTCCGACTTTCGATACGAAAGTGACGGAATATTTGTGCTCGGTGGTTTTTTTTTCTTCAGACAAATTTCGGCTTTTTAACTAGCCACTTTTGACGGAATTTTTTATATCATTAAGAAGGTATTGTTGTCCTGAGCTCAAATTTGTAAAGATATTTTACCTATGATAATTTTTCGTAAAGTTATGGGGGTTTAAAGATTGCCATTTTGGCCAATTTGGGACAATTAACGCGGGATATGTTTCGCGCTATTAAAGCGTGAGCGGAGAGTTAATCCGTCTTAAAATTGTTCAAAATTAGTTGAAAGAAGCTTATTTTTCATAATTGATTTGTTACAGGAGCGAAATCTATCCTTTTGTACTTTATATGGCGTGTGGGGGGTTGATTTTCATAAAAAGTTTCAAATTTCAGAAAAAAATGTAATTTTATTTTATTACATTAGATCTTTTAATGTTATTACCTCTCCATAAAGCCTTCGAAGGAAGTCGGAACATTCAGGGCTTTGCCCTGATACGAGCAGTCTTGTTGTGTATAATTTTGCCTCAATATTTATTCGAGTTTTGACAAAAATGTTACTTGATAAGAAAATTTTTTAACCTTTATTTTGAACAATTATTTTGACGTTTTTTGGTTTAAGCGTCACTTTTGCTCTCGTATTTGCTGCAACTGGAATCGGTCAGGCAACTTCGGCACTCGGAGACTTCGCCAAGGCCCAATTGGCCACGAAATCCCTTCTCGACTTATTCTCTCTGACCCCCAAAATCAACAATCTCTCAAACGACGGGTACCAAGTGTGGGAGGACCGAAACATCGGAGGTGGAAAAAATAATGTTCATATTGTTTTTAAAGATGTTCACTTTCGTTACCCTTCAAGACCGAATGTGAAGATTTTAAAGAGTTTTAACTTGGAGGTTCCCAGAGGAAAAACTGTAGCTCTGGTTGGACCGTCAGGTTGTGGGAAGTCGACACTGATGCAACTGGTCCAGCGGTTTTACGATCCAGAGCAAGGCGAAATTGTGAGTTGTTCTGATCGATAACAAAAGTTTTGCTATTTGATTTCATGAACAAACTTTGGCAAAGAAATTTTGAATCAGCGAGTTTGGCTTCCGTTTAGTTAATCGAGTTGACCAAATTTCATAGCATAAATTTAATTTTTTTGAAAACAGGAGATTTATCCAGTCTAAATCAAAAAACACAGATTTTACTCACATTCAAAATAAAGAGTAATATTGTCGTTTTTTAGTTTATAAAAAATTCTGTGTGTGTGTGTGTGTGTGTGTGTGTGTGTGTGTGATTATGTGTACGTGAGTGTGTGTGCGTTTGTGTATGTGTGTGCAGGCGCCGATCTAGGAACTTCTGAATTTCTCGAGGGGGGGGGGCGGATTTTCAAAAAAAAGTTTAAAAACTTTGTCGATCTTTTTTTAGGTCAACCAAATTGATTTTCTGAGCTCTCCTAAATCACTATAAAGACCCTAATTTGACAAATTTTCTGTGCCGCTGGCAAATTTGTGAAAAAAACAGGCCAAAAAGGCGCCCTTAGAAAATTTTTAAGGTCAGTCGGCCAAAAATGGATATCTCAAAATAGTTTAAAGAGGGGGCCCTTTGGGTCGGCAGGGGGTCGAATCCCTAAGGAAGCCCTCCCCCCCCCCTATTTCCGCTGTTATGTGTGTGTATGTGTGTGTGAGTACGTGTGTGGGTGTGTAAGTGCATATGCATGCATTCGGCAATTTATTATTCGTCTCATGTAAATTTGAAGCTATTGGATGGCTACGACATCAAACAGTTGAATGTCCGTGAGCTACGAAGACGCATCGCTATAGTAAGTCAGGAACCCTCGCTGTTCAACGCATCAATTGAGAACAACATCAAGTACGGATCCCTCGCAGAGTCTGGAGATTTCGACTCCTCGATTACCCTGGACAGAATCATAGGAGTTGCAACGTCTGCAAATTTGCACAGCTTTGTGTTGGGATTACCTCTGAGGTATGACACGAATGTAGGCGAAAAGGGAACTCAAATATCTGGCGGGCAAAAGCAGAGAATTGCAATTGCACGCGCGTTGATTCGCGACCCAGAGATTATTTTACTGGATGAAGCAACGTCCGCACTGGACAGCGAAAGCGAAAAGGTAAATAGATCCGTATAATTTCATTGTGTACTATTTTTTAGTTATGTCTGAGAGCTGATTTTAAGGGAAAGTTAAGGACCAAATGCCGGTGACGTTTAAATGTCTCACGCCGAATAAAGGAGACGATGAACAGCTTTTATTTGGTTTCCTCCCTAATCGTTTATTCCGAATCGTAAACTTTTACAAAATGATTCAAAACTTTCCATTTAATCAACTCTCTTCTTAAGAATTCGAATTCTCCGGCTTCAGTTGAAAAAAAACTGCAAAAAAGTACTGTTTTAGGTAGTTCAGCAGGCACTGGACATTGCTCGCGTGGGGCGAACATGCCTAGTCATCGCACACCGACTGACCACGATTCAAAATGCAGACGAAATTGTGGTGTTAGACCAGGGAGAGATAGTGCAACGGGGAACCCACGAACAACTATTTGCCGACAAATCCGGACTTTATTCTAAGTTCTGCCAGGCGCAGAATCTAGAGGTCGCCAAGTAAACTTTTCTGAAGAAGTATTTACAACTGAAAATGGGTCTTTTACTGAGAAAAAACCTTAATTGTATTTTTACGGAGGTTTTTGAGCGTTCACTTTTTTAGGGGTAGTTTAAAAAAAAATTGCATGGGTAACAGTACGTGTCAACAAAAATAAAAATAGTAGCAAAATGCGACTGAAAAAATAGAACAATAGTTGAGTATCCGTTGTGATATAAATAATCAGAAATTTTGTAAATTATTCCTTAATTGATCATGATCTGAACCTTTAATGTTAACTGTTGTTTAGCCGAAGAACTTGAGCTTGAAAAAGGCAACTTTTAATAGTCAAAAAAGTTTTAAGCCATGTGCCGGTGTTGATTATATGGAATCAGTGAGAAGCAATGTCTTAATTAAGTTTCAAGTTTTCAGCGATCCAAATCAAATTCTGAATTGTGTTGAAAACCTGAAACAGCATTTAGAGATAGGCCAAGATCTAATAAAGACCCGCAAGGCCTGAAAAAAATTGAGATTTAAAGCGATTTAAATCAATTTTAATGAAGATGATAAACAGTATTTATACTATACAAGAAAAGGTCTTTTCACACAGTTCCATTTATAGAATATGTAGAAAAAAAGTTTATTTGTGCATTTTTGTCTATAGCTTAGTCCAGAATCAAAATTGTCAGTGAATTTTACTTTGAAACCCAATTTAATTGTCGAAACAATAATAAGTGGGGAGTAGTAGGCGGAAAAAAGCATGCGCAAAATGTTCTAGATTGCTCTAGAATGTTTCACAATGATCATTAATTGTTCTAGGTTGTTCCAGAAATTTCATACAATTAAATCGATATTAATAACACCAAAAAATAGCATAATTAATTAAACAATACTGACTAACTCTTTACTGTTAATTATTCGTAGCGTTGAACTTTAAAATCGTACCTGTGGTTGTTAAATAGTTTCAAGGGAGGTAAATTGAAATGCATAATTTCTACTGAGATATGATTCATAAATGAACACTGACAGGCTTAACAGTTTGCGTGATAACCTTGGACAAAGTCCGATAAATGAAAACTCCGTCGTTTCCAAGAATCAGAATGCAAAAAGTACATGTAATCTAAACTGCACAGCTTGAGACATTTAGCCAAAAATTTAAAAGATTTTTCCATAAAAGTCATGAATATTGAAGTTTCTCAGCAAAAAACCACGCATGAAGACAAACTTGGTCAGATTTTTGCCGCATCATTTGTAGCATGACTCATCAAAGTTATAATTTATGTCTCAAAAATTGTTAAGTTTTTTTTCTACATGAAAGATGCACAATTTCAAAATTGAGTCTTCAAATGTTTGGATTGTTCAGTTTTTTCCTCTTCATATTTAGTATGAATCATCAGGGTCATGTTACATCCTATTTCTCAATAAGTATTATTTTGTTGAACATAGACATGAAAACAAGAATTGATTGTCATCAAAAATTATGCCTGAAAAAATATGCATTGTCCGAGTTTTGCCTCGTCATATGTAGTATCAAGGTCATAATACATCAACTTATATCTCAGTAACAGTTAATTTTTTGACTATAGGTACGAACATGAAAGTTACTCCTCATCACATTTATGTCTAGAAAATTGTGCACTGTTCAAATGATGCCTCATCATAAGTAGTATGAACCACCAAGATCATTTTACATTGTTTTATATCTCATTAGCTGTTACTTTTTTGACCATAAATAAGATGATAAAAATGCTTAGCAACGAAATTTGTATCCAGAAGTTTCAGCATGGTTCAAGTTTTGCTACATCATATGTCGTATGAAATATCAGGGTCATGTTTCATCATCTCACATCTCAATAACTACTGATTATCTGAACACGGGCATGAACACAAGAACTGGTCACTACCAAATACGATCTTTGAAAAAATTTGCACTGTTCAAATTTTGCCTCATCAGATGTAAAATGCCTCATGAGGGTCGTATTATCTGATTTTATATCTCATCAAGTGTTGCTTTTTGACCATAGGCGAAAGCATTAAAAGGCTTCGCATTGAATTTTGTGTCCAAATTTTGAAATATGGTTCAAATTTTGTCTTTGTAAAAGGACTCAACAAGGTCATGTTACATCTTATATCTCATTAATAGCCTATTTTTTTTCACCATAGTTTTGAACTTAAAAATTGCTCAGCCTCAACAACTGTGTCTATAAAATAAAATTTAGTTCAAGTTTGGTCTCATCAGATGTTGTATGAGTCATCAAGGTTATGCTACTGAATCTTATATCTCAATGAATTTTGATCTTTTGACCATAATTTCGAACCTTTGATAAGCTCAGCATCAAATATTTGCCATAAAATTTTACGAATTGTTCAAATTTGACTCGGAACTTGTTAGCAATGAATTGCTTTTTCTGGAAAATAATTTGTTTTACGGAAATTGATAAAAAAACATGAAATTATTTTTTATGTTTCCACTTTTCCGCTGTTGATTCAGGTTCGATTAATTTCTTCTGAATAAATTATATAAAACTGAGTTTAACTAATTTTAGTGAAGCAAAAGAATATTCTCCAAGGACTTCAATTTTTGCTTCATTTTTTCGTTTGCTTGAACAACCGCTTAAGAGGAAGCTGCGTTGCAATTTTTTTAGTGTGCAAGTTGATGATTTTCCAATATGATTCGATAAGTCATGAGTTTTCTGTTGTTTTCTGAATTTAAAAAAGTTTGGCGATTAATCTATTTCAAAGAACTGATTCTAAAAATTTTATCAAATCTATGCAAAAATGCTCCTTTTTTATTTCAGTCGGCTACAATCAGATTTCTTCGATACCGGTACATTTGCACAATAGATCAAAAGCGAAAATAAATTTAACAGTCATTCAAAACCACATTTGAAACTTTTTCCATGCATAACGGATAAAATTTAGGAACATCTACTTTTCTTTACCACACAAGTTGCGTTGAAAAAATTGCACATTTTTATGTGTTAAAACGTTACTAAACTAAGCTTCATTCGGATAAGTAATGCTAAATTTAGTTTAGATAAGCAGGTTCACCATACTGCCTACTTCAAGCCGTAAAAAAATCGTACTTTAGAAGTAATTTTAGTTTGAACTTTTACTCTGATGTTGTTAGTAGAGCTCAAAAGTTTTCTTCAAGTTTCCAAATTTATGTTTCTTTTTGTTCAATTGTGAGTCAGTATCTAAAAACATAGCTACCTTCTGAAAATTTTGCAGAAACTTTTTTCTCACTTTTTATAACATATAAACGATATAGTTCGCTTTAAAAAGTTGAAATCAGTTTCGATAAAAATTAATAGAAAAACAGTTTTTTCGACTAAAGTTTAATCTTTATCTAAATAGGATTGTTTAGTATGTCGGGTTAAAAATAAAAGTTATTCAGATTCATTTATTTTTGGATGGACATTGCTTGATTGTTTGCTTATTGCTTCTTCTTTGAACTGTAACGATAGTAGCTCTCAGTATATTTGAGCTCTTGACGGTATTTGTGTAACCTTTTAATAGTTTTTATCAAACTTTTATTTTCAGACATTATACGTGTTTAACCTTCATTTAAAACTTAATCATTTTAACAGTTGTGTCAGTTTTTAATTTTTTAAAGTTTTGATTCTGTTTAATTGTTAAAACTTTGCGCAAATTTTAGTAAGATTTTAGTAAGATTTTATAGGCAAAAACGGTGAACAAATCTATTTCACCGTTTTCAAATGACTTTAATCCTCTTGCAATTACATCCCAGTTTCGGAAGTTTGTGTTTACTTGCAGCTTAAAAATAAGATAAACTATGTAAGCCAAACATATGAAAACGATTCAACACAGCATTAAGTGAAGTTAAGATACTTTTTATTTAATTAATAAAAGTTGTATGTTCAAAATCGTTTTTTTTTGTTTTTTTTTGTTGTAACATTGTTGAAATATCTAGTAAAAAAAACTGAAATTTACTGTTATTACGAGCAACACAGTCTACGCATTTATTTTGACTGGTAGATTAGCTGAGGACTACCTTGAGCTAATCTAACCTTAGTTAGATCAACTCTTAGATGGACCATCTTAGATGGACCATCTATCAAAGGATCACCAAGAAGGATCACCTTGAGTCAACCTAACTTGCATCAGGTTAACTCTCTTTGAACTATCTTTCAGGAATCTAAGGTGATCCATTAAGGACTACCTTGAGCCAATCTAACCATAGTTAGATCAACTCTTAGATGGACCATCTTAGATGGACCATCTATCTAAGGATCACCAAGAAGGATCACCTTGAGTCAACCTAACTTGCATCAGGTCAACTCTCTTTGCACCATCTTTCGGGAATCTAAGGTGATCCGTTAAGGACTACCTTGAGCTAATCTAACCTTAGTTAGATCAACTCTTAGATGGACCATCTTAGATGGACCATCTATCAAAGGATCACCAAGATCAACTAGTTGTGGATGAGTACACAATACTGTTTTTTCGTATCTTTCGTCATAAATCAAGAGAAAAAACCAAAACAAAGTACCTCAAGATTAAAAATTAATAGGAGATTCAAACTTTATTTTGTATTTATTTTCAACTTGTTCTGTTGGTTGGTTCAATTATATCAAAACTTTAAAATTTGTTACCTCGAATTAGTTTTTAATTAGCTTTTCTGCAAATTAATTCCAAAATAAGTGTTCAAAATTGAAACAAAAAGATGTTTTGTTCATTTTTTTGCCCATTCAATTTTCATTGAGGATACAATCAATATTTATTAGACTGATAAATTTCAATTGTATCCAAAATTCTCAAAAAAGTTGATACTGCTAAAAAAAATTGCAAAATTCAAGCTTTTTTGCTGCATCTTTTTAATTTTACTCAAAAAGCGGTCAATTAGTGGTGCTCCAGTTTTCAAACGCCCAATCCACAATAATTTAACTATCTACGATAATGATTACAGATAATAACAAATTTAGTCGCCTCTACGGACAATTTTTTTGATTTGTTCATTTTCTTCTGTGAATAATTCAAAATAGCTGACAAGTGTTGTCTCAAAACTATTTTAAACAATCATTACCCAATTTAAACTTCTTCAATTTTTTTTGTTTTTGACGCGCATTGCATCTATTTCTGGTCTATAAATTGGTTGTTAGAAAAATTAACTTAAACCGAAAAACTTTATTGTGATGTTCTGTTTGAACACAGCAAACATGAAAATCAGTTAAATTATAGTTTCGTCTAGTTAATTAAAATGTATGACAGGATATTTTATATCGACCTTTAGAAAACCATTTTTCAAGCTGAACTTTCAAATCTCAGCGTTTTTCATTATAATATCAAACATAAAA